AGAAAAACTATGCATTTATATTATCTTTTATAAGTAGATAATTATCATCACTGATACACTTTTTATTTTCAATGTGGATTTGAATCACCATCTGGGGTCATTTGCTTTCAGTTTGAAGAAAACTTCCTTTAATATTTCTTAGTAAGCACGCCTGCTGGTGACAAATTCTTTCAGTTTTTTGTACATCTGAGAATATCTCTATTTCACATACATGTTTACTTTAAAAGATAGCTTTGCTGAATGTGATTGTTGGTTGACAAGTTTTTTCCTTGAGCACTTTGAACACGTTATCCCACGTCTGTCTGGCCTTCATTGTTTCTGTGAAATTTTTAGCTGTTACTTTTATTAGGGTTCCTTTACAAGTGATGAATTAATTTTCTCTTGTTTTCAGCATGTTCTGCTTGGTTTTGGCTTTCAGGGTTTTCACTATGATGTGTCTATTTCTGAATATCTGTGTTTATGTTCTTGGAGTTCATTGAGCTTTCTGCATGTATAGATTATTTTAAAAATTCAGGGTTTTTATTATACTTTTTCTGTTTCTCTTTCTCCTCTCCTAGTACACTCACTGCACATTTGTTCATGCACTTAATGGTTTTATACTTAATGGTTTTTTATACTTTTATCTGAGGCTCTGCTGATATTTCTTTATTCTTTTTTCTCTCTATTCTTTAGTTTTCATATTCTTACTATTGTATCTTTTTGTTCACTGATCATTTCTTTTGCCAATTCAAGTCTACAGTTCAGTCACTCTAGTTAATTTTTTATTGTCCCACTAACGGGCTTTTTCTTTTAGCCAGGTGTTTTCCCCCATGTGTCATATTTTCTTCTTTCTTTGCATGTCTCATAATCTTCTGTTGGAAACTAGGCATTTTAGATAATATATTATAGCAAAACGGTACTATCTTCTGAAGGCTTATTTTATTCGCTTGTTTATTGGTTTAATGACTGGCTGAGTTGTTTTAGTGAACTGTTTCCCCCTCTGTAATATTAAACCTATGATGTTTCACTTCAGGGAATCTCAGTCATGGGTATGTCCACAGTTGCCTTAGAATTACAGCTGTTTGGGCAGGACTCTCCTTGGTTGCCTTTTCCCCTGTCCAGGTCTAGCCGTTGAACTCCACTAATTACCAACAGCAGTTCCATATTGTTTGTAAGACTGCATTAGAACCTAAATTGCTCTACAGACCAATCCATTCAAATTTGATCTTCTTCGAAAGAGTAATTTCCTAGGTCAGAGTTTCAGATTTGTTCTGACCTAGTTGGGCTCCAGAGGCTCTCTCTTTCCGAGATTCCCTGCTTTCCACCCCCCGGGCAAAATCCTGAGCTATTGCCTCTGGAACTAGTGTGAAGATGATAGCATGTTTCTCTGAGGGACATTTATTTCTTAGGACAAGGCATATGATACTGGGGGTAAAAATAGCCTCAAAGCTTTTTGGCTTGCCTCTCCCAAAGTAGAGTGGGCTATGGAAAGAGCGATTGAGGCTCCGTATTCTCAGTGGCACTGTGCCCAGGTGGAGCCTCTCTCCCATAAGTGGGGACCAGGAGGAAGAAAAGAGTCCCTGACTCTTAACCACATTTACTTAGAACTTAGCTTGACTAGTAAGTGAGTAGGAGCAGAATAAGAATGTCTGACATCTCACTTTTTCCCTAGAAAACAGTCCTGCAGCTGCTCGCTGCAGGGAGAGGGGTTCCTGTAGGTTCTTGGCTAAACCAGTTTGGAGTGGAGTTTCTACCTCACTGAGCTAAGAGAAAGAAGAATGGGAGTAGGTTCTTGTTCACACACCAGAGTCTTACCATTCTTACCAAACTCTAGTCGATTTTCTTGAATAAATATGTTTCCAGAATCTTTAAATGTTTTTCCATTTATAATTTTCACCAGTTTCACCAGAAAGCACATCTGCAGAGCTCCTTATGCTATCAGGTTGAAATAAAATTCTCTGATAAGGCATGTTTTTGTAAGTAAAAAGAAAGTATTAGAAGATTGCTTAAGCTAAAATCAATGTATAAGACAATTTTATATGCCAGCAGCAGTGAGTTGAAAATACATATTTCAAAAGGTAACTAATGTTAAAGAGGTTTATTATTGCTATAAAGTATGTACAGCAGCAAAAATAAATCTAACAAAAAGTTGGGGACATTTTTGTAGCTAAAAACATTTTACTGGCATATATTAAAGAACATAAAGCAATCGCTATCTTAGTATAGAAGACTGATAAAGACATAAATCATCTCAAAATTGACTGATATTTCAATCTAATTTCTACTAAATTTTATAGAAATTTTTATAGAACTTGATCTGATTCTATATTTTTTAGAGAACAGCAAATAAACAATAACAGCTAAGATATTCTTAAAGAAGAACACGGTAGGAGAAAATACTGTAAGCAATATCAAGATTTATGATAAATTTTTCATACATAAGAAACAGGGTATTCATGCAGGGTTAGAGAACCAGATTACTGAAACAGAATAGAGATCTCTTAAAAGAATGCAAATGTATAAAAATTTCATTTGTGAGAAACTGAGCTCTGATGACCAGTAGGTACGTGGTAAGTTACTCCATAATTAACATTGAGAAACTCAATTTTTAGTATAGAAGACAAACAAATTAATACAACCTAAAATAATTTTATATAATTAAGAATGTTTAAGGCTTGAAAACACAAATTATAAGAGATTGATAAAATTAACTATATTACATTCAAAATTTTAAATGAAATAAAAAGGCATCATGTGTGTTAAAGAAGAAACTTTGTAGAAGATATATTTGCAACATTTAAGATTTAAAAATTTATTCCAAAGACAATAATTTGAGCTACGTGAAACTACTAAAATTCTATAGTTTTTGATGTGTACAATAATGAAAATTAGCTGAATGAAATAACTGAAGTAAATTGAAAACAAATATTAATACCAATACAAAAACAAACAAACAAAAAAGATGAGAAGGTAAACAAGGAATTGATGCTGCCTGGAACTGACAGCATCAGTTTAGCAAGGTAAAATTTAGCAAGAATGACTCCTAGACTTCCTTTCCTCAGTCAACAACTTTCCAAGTGTAGAAAGGAGAACGAGATAGACAAATTCCAGGATTGGTAAAAATTATATATCTAAGTATGAATTTAGTGTTAGACCCACCGATGTTTTCTCAGTAATAAAGGAGATAGCTTTGTTCTGCAGCAAACAGTATTTCTGCTGCAGTTTCTAAATTATTATAACAGACCGTTATAAAAGGAGAATATGCAAAGATTATTTCTCATGTAAATAATGTCAGCCACAAAGAGACAATTGCCTCATTTCACTTTTATTAATTGTATCTTGAAGAACAAATCCTATTTTCTGTTTTGAACTATCATATATAAAACCATCCAGAAATGTTCTTTGTGCTAATTAACTGTACTCAAACTTGTCACATACTTACTGAAAATACAACACGACTATATATTCTATATCTGTTTTGAGATATTGTTCCTTGCTTTTAGCTCCATCTAGTTATGACAATAAAGATTACTGGATCATTTGGTATATGACTGCTTAACCCCATTAGAAATCTCTTTTTCTAAGTATATTCAAATTACTATATAATGATATACACAGAAGGAATTCAGAAAACAATTGTTAATTCAGAGTCCCTTTTCTACTTGACTGCTTATTAGAAAAGCATTGTAAGTCCTGTTTATAACTTAAACAAAGCAAAATTAAATATATCTATGCATCTATTTTGGGGAATGGCTATCAGTTTTTGAAAATCCTAGTATAGTGCTACATGGTACAGAAGTTTTATCAAACTTATCTGAAGTCATTTGAATGGAATATCTCAATTAGTTGAGTATTTTGGAAACCAGTAGGACACTGATGATCAGAAATTGAATGGCAGTGGTCTTGATTTGTTACTTTAATATGCAATGATTGATTAGGTAGCCCAGTATTCTGGGATCTATAATTTACCAATATTTGAAAACAATGAACCCAAATAATTATTTTCCCTAAATAACACTGTGCACAGTAACCAAAATGTGTTTATTTGCTTTTGGCTGTAAAATCAATAAGAGTTAATCAGCATTTCTATTTTGAGTAACGTATGTCTTTCAGTAATCAATATGAGAAAGGAGACTAACAATTAATATATACAATGTGACTGCCGTTCGTGAGATGCGGATAAATGACAACAAAAAATTTCAACTTGAGGGTGAACGTTTGAGAACTGTGGAGCAAACATGGGACCAATCACTTCTTACTGACCAGTTTTACTTTGAACTGAAGTATGTTCTCAAGTATTGCTTGACTGTTGCTCCAGACAACCAGTACATATCTCCATATGATTAACTGACATATGCAAAATGGAGCACATGCTTTTGTAACTTCTCAGGTTGTTCTTATTATGTAACCACTACAGGTCTTCTCTACAGAATTTTAATATATGCAGTGTATGTCCTCGGAATAGTAAATAGGGCTTTTGCAGTATCTTAACGTGAATGCTCTAGGCCATGAACGTCTCTCTTTTTAGGTACCTGTGGAAATCAACAAAGTGCATCCTTGCAAAACTTTATTGTTATACACTCCATCTTTTAATACAGGGCTTCTCAAACATGTTTCAAACATGATGACATTCTATTCAATCAAATTTGCTTAACCCATTATCAGGCTAAATAAAGAAAATTAAGCTTATATATGGTTATATGGAGACCTGAGATAATATATGTCTTCTGAAGGTACACTTAAAGCTTATTTTTGTAAAAGAAATATTTTGCATTTTTAAGGTGATGATGGTAAAACTCCTTTGGCCCATCAGGGGATCCCATTCATTCAAACTGTTATGGTTGTCCTGGTCCATGATGATTGAAAGAGTGGAGAGAGTGGGGTTGGGGAGAAAGCTTGAGTGGGCCATTGAAGTTGGGATTGTCTTGAGGTTTGCAAAGGGTTCATGAACTAGAAAAACAAGTATTATTTGGGCAGTCATTTTGAAACAATGCAAATTATTGTAATTGTTATTTTTGCAGATAATTCCCTCAGTATTTTGGCAAAACATAATGGATTCAACCGCCAGAAGCAAGAAGTCTACCTTTTACCAATCATAATCAGTGATAGTGGAAATCCCCCACTGAGCAGCACCAGCACCCTGACCATCCGGGTCTGTGGCTGTAGCAATGACGGTGTTGTTCAGTCTTGTAATGTTGAAGCTTATGTCCTTCCAATTGGACTCAGTATGGGCGCCTTAATTGCCATATTAGCATGCATCATTTTGCTGTTAGGTACGTATTTCCTTCATAGCCTAATTGTCACCCTTTTTCTGGTTGATAAATGATTGTAAATAAGGACAGAAATCTCCGACCTAGCCAGGTCAGGGCATTCTCTTGCGGTAGAGGAACTTCCTTTCCTTCTCTACATTTTGAGATCGCTAAGAAGTGAAGAGAAAAAGGGTTGTGATAGTAAATGTCCAATTGAAGAGAACTTTCAGTGCCTTTTTCAATCCCATCACCGGTAAATGGTGAACAAGGTATAATGGTGGTGGCAGTGGGGGAAGGGCCTGTATGTTATTACACACCATCTGTTATGGAAGAAGAACGCCCAGTGTGAAGCGTTCTAGTTCACTGCAGCAGCAGGCTCTACTATGCCCACATAGTGTGTTTTATTATAGATTGGGTTGCTGAGTCCATCAGATCCCAAATTTGGTGACATAAAAAGAAAGCAAATAAGCAAACAAAAAGTAAGTTTTCTTCAAAATACCACCACATTTCTCTGATATTTTCCTTGATATAAACATCAAATTGATATTTTCCTTGATGTTAACATCAAATTAAAATGAAGATTGCAAATTAAGATTCTATAACATTTTAATTTAAAAAATCCAATTATAAAAATGAGATTAAAAGTAGGAAAATAGAAAAGAGAGTCAATCGTGTCTTACCCTACCCTTGAATAACGAAACACCATAAAGACGGTGTCAGTTACTCTTTCTTGTTCTATCTGTCCTGCTCACCCAGTGCCTTGGATTTAAGCATCACTAAGCTGACATATTTTACTCCATTAGCCCACATTTGATTTGGCTGATCTAGCTAGTGGAGTATTTTTCCCTTTTCCATTTTCACATTTAGGTTTCCCTTCCCAGCTAGAGGCATTCCCATCCTCCCACAAGGCAAGTTGCCCATGCAAATTTGACATTCACTTTTATTTTTTTGGTAAAATGACATAATATAATTGGAGAGTGCCTTGAAAAACTGTCAAAGCCCAAGGTCCTAGTTTTCTCTTTTTTAAAAAAGAAGGGTGTTTGGGAACCAAAGGATGATAAAGGACTTGCTTGAGACACACATCAAGCTAGTCATACTTTCAATACTATATTCTATTTTGTGCCATTCACTCTAATGACCATAACAGTGTAAAATACAACTTTCATCATGAATACATGCATATCAATTATTTTAACCTAGCTCTACCACCATTTAATAAATGGATAATCTGAAACAGTATTTACTCAAAATTTAATGTTCATCCTTCAGAAAGATGTTAAGCTTAATTCTCTAGTAAATATTCCTAAAGCCGAACGCTCTTATGATTTTATAAAAATATCCTCTCTCCTAACATATATTGTGTGTTGCTTGTATTACATGCTTGTTTGTCTGACTGTTATTTAATATTTTTCCTACAGTCATCGTGGTGCTGTTTGTAACTCTACGGCGGCATAAAAATGAGCCATTAATTATCAAAGATGATGAAGACGTTCGAGAAAACATCATTCGCTACGATGACGAAGGAGGAGGGGAGGAGGACACAGAGGCTTTTGACATTGCAACTTTACAAAACCCAGATGGAATTAATGGATTTTTACCCCGTAAGGATATTAAACCAGATTTGCAGTTTATGCCAAGGCAAGGGCTTGCTCCAGTTCCAAATGGTGTTGATGTCGATGAATTTATAAATGTAAGGCTGCATGAGGCAGATAATGATCCCACGGCCCCTCCATATGACTCCATTCAGATATATGGCTATGAAGGCCGAGGGTCAGTGGCTGGCTCCCTCAGCTCCTTGGAGTCCACCACATCAGACTCAGACCAGAATTTTGACTACCTCAGTGACTGGGGTCCCCGCTTTAAGAGACTGGGCGAACTGTACTCTGTTGGTGAAAGTGACAAAGAAACTTGACAGTGGATTATAAATAAATCACTGGAACTGAGCATTCTGTAATATTCTAGGGTCACTCCCCTTAGATACAACCAATGTGGCTATTTGTTTTAGAGGCAATTTTAGCACCAGTCATCTATAGACTCAACCACATTTTAATGTTGAACCAAAAAAAAGATAATAAAATAAAAAAAGTATATGTTAGGAGGTTATAAATCTTGTGGAGTGTGAATTAAGTATGTGGCGTTCTAGAAGTCCTTGGATATTTGATATTTACCTGATCACCACAGACAAAAATTGGGATCCTGGCTAATCCTTAGAGAAATGGTTTAAATAGAGGAAAAAATCAAAATTAAAAGGTGCTTTCTTAGAAAAAAAATACGGACCTGCAAGGAATCTGCTGCTGTTATATGTCTTCTGCAAGGATTTTTATGAATGCAAATGGTTTTTCCCCCTTCACCAATAAGGATTCGCCACAAATGATAAAGCAATACTTGGTCTGCTGTACATTATAACTTTGTGGAGTTTTGAGAGGCCTCCTAGATTATACGGTACGGTGACCACACATTGTACATAATTGTTGGCCCCACTCACCAGAGACTGAATAGCATCTTTAAATATTGTGTCGAGCCTTAAAATATTCACATGTTCGTAATCCATTCCAGGGTGGGGCTTACCAATTCAGTGGTGGGAGGAGAGAAATCCCATTCAAACATGCTTGTTTGCTAGAAGCAGGATTCCTCGTTCCCTCCGCTTCATCTTCTTCCACAAGGACACAAAGATAAACTGTATCACACAGTGGACTACATAAGAGACAGATGGTTTTATTGCTAGCGCGTGAATTTATTTGTTTAATCCTCGAAATAAATATTTTATTGATGTCCATTAATGCTTTTATTTATTAAGGTTGGTAATCTATAGATTAAGGGGATATATGGAAAAAAAACTAAATTATATCCATTAATAATCCTTTAGATTGTTTTATATAAATATATATACAATGAATGTTTAATACATGTACATTTTAATGAGATGAGTATGGCAGGCAATATTATCAAAAGGAGAGCTAATAGTCTCTTTAGAGTAGAAAGTGTTATTGTAACTGGTCATGATGGCAGGAACAGCATTTTCCCAGAGAAACTTTTGGACTGTTTTCTATTTTGTTCATAATCCTAGTATTTGGTGTTTTTACTACAAGCACAAACATCCTAAAGTATATTGATTCCTGTGAATATTTAAACTCTAGACTTTTAGATACCTAGGTAATTCCCTGCCCAATAAACATGCTTCTAGTTACCCCCACAGTTTTAGAGCAGGAACTGATTTGTACATAATTTCACTGCTTACGTTTTTAGCACTCCTCTCCCTGATTTCATGGTGATGCACAAAATGTCTTAGACTCCAAAAAGGGACAGCACTCGGAGATGTGAGCATATTTAATTTGTAATGCAAACCTGCCATTTAGGAGTAGAAAATGTATGATAAAACTCAAGTATTACATGCAGATCATTTTAATTTTCTACTTTGCTTTAATGCAATATTGTTTATTTACTCCATGTATTGTATTCAGAGAAACTCCTGTATTGTTTCCTACTTTGTGAAATATATTTTTATAAATATCTTTGTTGTCATTAATTTTTTTTCAGTCAGTTGAAGATCTATTAACAGAAACATCAACTCTAACTAAAATTCTAGAATATTCAGCCAAATCACCCCAAGGGTCCCTTTTGTTTGTAGGAGTCTTTATTACAAAGGAACAGAGAAGAGAAATGGCTTGCCAATGATCACACAGCAAGATACCAGCAGGGAAATAAAAGGAACATGGAACATCTAAAGGCTAGTCCAACTGTATCATTTGGGTCCTTCTGGAAGCAGATGCATTGGGCAGGGGAAACCTGCAGACAAGTTTGCAGACCTAAAACTTGTAACAATAAAGGGAATGGGAGCAGGATTTGGCAAGAGAGTCTTAGACTGCAGTGCAGACCTGGCAAAATCTCTGCCAGCCTGACAGGAGGTTCTAGAGTGAAAACCTATCCATCAAAGCAGTCAGGCTGTGGTGCTCCATCATCTTAATCACCCCGACTGGGGGTTCTGGAGTGAAAATGTATCCATTAAAGCAGTCAGGCTGTGGGCCTCTGACATCTCAGTCGTTGGTGTGGGGCTGCTAAAAAGAGAATGGTTTTTGACTCAAAAACTGAAGGCACCAACTTCTAGAGACTACCTCCACTGTGACAGAAACAGTATGTTTAAATATTAGACTAAGAATTTATAATTATCCAGTGGCTTAATCAACTTTTTATTGACTTTTTGTTGCTTAGAATAAGTCATCTTTCATGCTTACTACTATGACTAGTGAACACTTTTTCTTGAGGTCAAAGGGATGATCCAAAGTGACTTTAAAGTATACTAGGACTTGGCACAGTGTTTAAAACAAGCGCTTGCTGAATGTAAGTTATTAGTGGTAGTTGCATTAATAATCAATAGTAATATTCCAACTATCTTACACTTTGCAAAGCAAGGAGAGGTTATTATTATGCTTTATGCATCTCTTGCACATCAGGCTCATTTCTAGTGTACTTTGAAGTCAAGTGCCCAAAGATTATAGACACACAGATATATCTAACAGAAAAATTACAGTATTTTTTTTAGGAATATAAAATCTATATCCTCAGATATTGGTATTCTTCCTACAGTGGTTTCTGTGAACAGGAGATAATGTCTGGTATACAGTTGCCTGAGTATTGTCTCAATGTTCCCTTTGCCTAGGAAAAGAGAATAACATGAATCTATCTGTTGACTTTCTTTGCCACCACAATGTCTGCATTTTGTGTTTAAAAGCCACTTTAGGTCTTGTTACATAAAATAAAGTGAGTAATACCTTGATCCTAATAAGGTTGACCTATACTTAGAGTGTCCTGAATCAAACTAAAAATCTCAAGAACTCTCTATGTCTCTCTCTCTCTCTCTCTCTCTCTCTCACACACACACACACACACACACACACACACACACACACACTTGACTTAAGGTTTTACTTTAGCAATAGACTTGCCAGGACTTCCCCAACCAAAAGAGATCAATAAGGTTCCTAACATTTTCTAGGATTTAAGCATCCCATGCTCAACTTGTTAAATAACACATTTTATAAACTTTATTGACATTTTAAATCACTGTGCATTGTGTTGTTCCATCAACATTGACATAGCAGAGACAAGAGTACTCTCTGCTAAGTGTAGAAGAATGGATAAGTTGGAACCAAGTGAGACAAAGTTATTTCCCTATGCCTACTTCTCAATTCAAGGTGTCCACCTGGGGAATTGATGCATCCCTGGGTGATTGGACACAACATGAGATCAATTCAGCCTCTACTATGTCTATGATTTAATCAAATCGTATTAGCAAAATGTCTCTTAAACATCCATATATGAATATAAAAGAGTATTAAGGGGGACATTTCTTACAATATTTTCATAAGTACAGTAATTATAAGTTTCTAAACATTTATAATAGGATGATTAAAATGTTACTATTAAATTCACCTGTTAACCTTACCAGACAGAATTATGACATCTAGGGTGTGAACTTTAAAGTGAAACTGTTTTGAAAAAAACGTGTAGTTAAGTGTATGTGTATATATAGGAGAAAATAAAACTGAGATTTACGGGTATCACCAGTGAAGCAAGAATGCTTAGAAACAGACAAATGTGTCTTTGGGAGAGTTCGCTTAATCAGATGCTTAAAGTAAGACAAGTCTCTGTGTGAGACTTAGAAATCTCCTAGGAGCAGCTGGATTCCACACTGAGATTCAACAGAGTTCTGGGCTATGCTGTATTTTGGAAAAGGAAAAGCGGGTGCTGAGAGCTAAGTAGCCAATTACACTTTATAGCCACATAAGGACTGAAGGCAAGTGGGCCCTTCCAACAAGTTGTATTATGCGATCACTGGCATTGCAGGGAATCTCACGAATGTATAACCTTCTGATTGCCTTTTTGATTGAAAGTTCCATCTGAGATCAGGGCAGTGCAACCAGTAATAAGATTTCAAAAAATCCCATCACTGGCACTGTCGGAAAGGCTGAGCATGACTGAAATTCTATCATTGTCAGTCAAAAAGATAAGGTAACAGCGGGCATCACTATAAAAGCTCTATAAATGCACAACTTAAGCATGAATATTAACATGAAAAGGAATCTTATATATATCCTTATACATATATTTGTAAATATATTCATGTATGTAAATATGCACACATATACACAATTAAGATACTGGGGATAATTTAAAGTTTTAATTTTTCATCTCATAGTCTCATGCACTGCCAAAAAATTGCAAGTGTGGCTCTCTGTTTTCATGAATCTTACCTTGAATTTTAAAGAAATTGAATTGAGGGTAAAGGATTTCAAAAACAGGTTTTTATTTGTGAATAGAACAATGGCTCATAATATCTGGGATTAGAATTAAATATATCACATTGTGAGGCTGTATTTAGACTTTTTAAATGTCTTTGTATTTTTTGTGGAAAAAATAATTGTAGAATATATTTTGCAGGAAATACTTTTCAATACTTTTTTAAAATTTCAATACTGTTTTATTTACTATACAAAGTTTATTTGTACTATTAGCCAAACAGTGTTGAATGTGTTGTTTGCCCTTGTAATTATTGCTTCTTATGATAATTGTAGAAGACTATGTCTTCATAATATATCATTTAAAAATACATTTATTATCATTGTATTTTTAATCAATACAAATTTGTGGATTACATGGTATACTGTTGATATTAAAGATATTTTAGTCCTAGTGTTATGAGCACAGACCTAGTGTTATGAAGAGCATAAAATTTAAAAATTTCCTGAGTTGATGGACTATTTGAGGAACAAGAATTTTGTCTCCCACATTTATTGAGTATTGGTCAGTACAGAAATTAGGCTACATGGTTGATATGTAAGATTAAATACGGTAGCATTCTCAAACATATTTTCTTTATTTATAAAATGTGCCTAATCAATCTCAGCAGAACTAATAGTTGAAATTGTTTTTGTTTTTGTTTTTTTTTTTGGCCTATGGATAAATAGTATTTGATCCTGGGCTTAAGTTTCGTTGGTCTGACACTTAAACCCCTTAACTTTCAACTAAACAATTCTCTCTGTAATGATAATATGAGGATTTTGATGACAAGAAATAGAAACTAAGTCATATATAATGCCATGGAAGTACTGAGGAGGATGTAAGGGACTCCATAGGGGAAGACTCAAGAAGGCTTCACGGTGGAATTTTCCAAAAAGATGGAAACCCAAAAATTGGTGCAACAGAAATCACAGCTTTTCCAAATACTAAAAGGGAAAATTATAAAAAGCACCAATGGTACATTTGGAACATTGGAATGATCCAAAAATTAGGTGTTCATAGGACACTCTAGGTTTACTAAATTGTGGAGTGTTTTAAGAATAGGAAAAATGAGGTTCAGAAACGTTACAAGGGATTTTCAGGACTAAATTACACATAAAATATGTGAGAGAAACAAATTAAATGCTGGTATTGGGGTCATATCCTGAGTTATAATGTTATAAGTGTTTTTGTATGTATTTTCCTTCCTTTATGTATAGTAGTTTCCTCTAGGTCTCAAGGTTAGTAGGCATTTTCTGGAGAAAATGGTGCTTTTGGGTACTACTCCCCCAACTTAAGTTACCTGCCACCAACTAATTCACATCTTGAATGCAAGTATTATTTCTTGCAAGTACCTCTACTAATAGATAATAGATATTTCTATTATTATCCACAGATTACAGAAGAGGGTTGCTAGGAGGAGTATCACAAGATGCTGTCTGAAGAGAAAGACTGTGGAAAACCATGGCTTCAATGAACTCAGAGGTCAGGACCAGAAAAGGAAATGAGAGGTCACTAAAGCCAAATGTTAATTTCTTCTGTACATGCAAAGAACTCCAGACCATCCTATGATTCCCCATAAATAAGAGAAACATTTTAACACTTATTGTCTAAGACGGAACATGACAATTTAGGAGTCACTGGGACCAACCCCCTCTTTCCAATGTTGCTCTGCTTTGACTACAAATATGTCTCATGGTTTTCTAATTTTTCTTTAACTCAACCTCTAAAGTTTGAGAGCTATGTCATCTATGTCAAGTCTGATTGTTGAGTATGTGGATGGATGTTTCTGGCATAATGTTAGAGCTATAAATAATGGTATTTCAAATAAACTTTAAAAAAGACTTTTCAATACAAAAATTATTTTCTATAAATTACATACTAGGTACATGCTAGTAACAGAAAAAGGATATGCCCAACATACTTCTCTTGCCTTTCAAGACATGGAGTTAAATTGGATAAATTACAGAAGCAAATAAGTGATAAACCATTTGATTTGGCTATCCTGTGGAAGAACTAAGCAGGCAGTGTTTTGAAAGCACAGAGAATGAATATTTAAGTCTACCAAGGCTAGGTATCTTGTTTGAGGCTGTGTTAGAATGAGTCTTGGAGGGAAGCAAATTTTACACAGGGAATATCAAAAAGTAAGGCCAGGCTGAGGTCCTGACACCTGAAAATAAATGGTGGCATGAGGGGATCTCTCAGTGGGTTTCATTATCATGTTTCTCAATGTATGAAATTCTCCAAGTTACAAAACAATTGTATTTTTGTTTATTTAAGAAATATGTACCAAAGAGTTCCCATTCATTTAGATGCTGGAAATACAGCACCAAATAGGACAAAAGAGATTTGTTTTTTTCTCAAAGACCTGGTCATGCGGAAGAAATGTAAATAAATGGAAATACAAAAACAAAAACAAAACAAAAAAAAACTTGACATGATAGAACAAAATAGATGAATGAGAAACTAAATGTTTTACTTACAGTGAACAGAATGATATTTGAGTTACAATGTGAAGTTTTTATGATCAAGGAAAACCATAGTAAAAGGTTTGGAAATGTTTATGTTAATTGCTCTCCTGGAGTGAATCAGTGGCATATACAAGAATGAATATGAGGTCCAGATGATAGTGGATAAGGCCAAAAGAAACACAACAGATGTGGAAACCTGGGAAGGGACCATATTATCCAGGTTCTTGTCAGCCAAGATAAAGAGCTCAGATTTACTTTATGTGAATGAGAAGGCAATGGAAGAGACCTAAATGCAGGGGGATGATATGATCTGATTTATATTTTAAAAATAATCACTCTGGCTTTTACATGAAAATCAGATTGTATGAGATGTGAATGAAAGTGGGAAACCCAGATCGAAGTTTTTTATCATAAGGCAAGGAATATCTTGTCTTGACTTTATGGAGTGGTAATACAGATAGAAGAAAGACCCAGAATTCACATATACTTTGGATATAAAATTGGTAGTAATGGTAGTTGCATTACATGCACAAAATATAGATGGAATCTAAAAATAACTCCTAGAAGTTTTGGCTTGAATGACTACATAATTCGTGGAGACAGTTACAAAGATTAGGAAGATGAGAAGTGGATTTGTTTATCAAAGACTGACATTCTAACTTCTCGATGACGAACAACAGGAAAGGATAACAGAAATCAGAGTCTTGCAGAAATTCTTACAAGGGATGTGTTCTAGACTGTATTAGGTTCTTCAGAGATGCAGAACCATTTGGTGAAAGAGAGAAATTTTTTTAAGGAATTGGCTCCTGAAATTATGGTGGCTGAGGACTTCTATGATCTGTTGTCTGCAAGCTGGAGGAAAACAAGTATTGCAGTTCTGTCTGAGTCCTTAGGGCCAAGAATCAGGGGAGATAAGATATAAATCTCACTCTGAAGTCCAGAAATGATGAAATAAGATATCCCATCTCAAGCAGTAAGGCAGAAAAAAAGAGAACAGATTTCCTCTTCTTGTTCTTTATTTCTTCAGTGTATTCAATGATGCCCATCTATACTGGGGAAGGCAATCAACTTACCGGGTCCATTGATTTAAATGCTGACTTTATCTGGAAACACCATCACAGACACACCCCCGGAATAATGTCTGATTTGTGCATCTTGTGACCTAGTTAAGTTGTCATATAAAATTTACCATCATAGGAATCATCTAGAAAGCATTTCTATTTTTCTGCATATCAATACCTGAGTCAATAAAGATCATAAGAGACATGATAAATTTCAGAAAGAAAAGGTAAGTCAGACTGATAATATTATATATTTTAGCTTTATGTAAATTAAAAATATAAGGCTCTACTTCAGTTACTTAGTTCATTTTTGGTTGAGGTATGATGTACTTACTTACTGGAAATATTAGTTAATGTAAATGAGGAGATAATATCCTGAAACCTTTATGTATGTTTACCTAAAAGTAGAAAAAAGGCAAATGTAGCTCTCTCTATAAACATGATACACTGTCCAGAAAGCATTTCTGGGATATATTCTTTCTCTCTGGACTGAATACTAAATCTGAAGAGATGAAAAATTTGGTCTTTGTGGTTTAGGTATGATAAAAATTACAGAAGAAACACCCTCAAACAAATAATTTGTTTGTTTGTTTATTGCTACTTACTGATAAATTTATCTAGTTGTTTGGAAGTTTAGGGGTTTGGCACCTAGTATACGTTGGATGCATAGAATTGAAGCAATATCCGTTGAAGAAGAGAAGTCTTATGCAAAGTAAGTATAAGAAATTCTTATATCAAAAACTTATTTAGGAGAATGCATCTAATCTGTTACGCAGTTATCATGCGATGAGCCCTGTGCTACATGTGTGCAGCTTGGACAACGATAGAAAGACTCATTCTTCTTTTTCAGAGATTAATGTCTTCTGTAGTAGTCTGACACAGTTCTTGTTTATTTATTTATTTATTTATTTCGTATTGTACTTTAAGTTCTAGGATACATGTGCAGAACATACAGGTTTGTTACATAGGGATACAAGTGCCATGGTGGTTTGCTGCACCCATCAACACATCATCTACACTAGGTATTTCTCCTAATGCTATCTCTCCCTTATCCCCCCACCCTCTGACAGTATGTGATGTTTCCCTCCTTGTGTCCATGTTCAATCCCAGTTATGAGTGAGAACAGGTGGTGTTTGTTTTTTTGTTCTTGTTAGTTTTCTGAAAATGATGGTTTCCAGCTTCATCCATGTTCCTGCAAAGGACATGAACTCATCCTTTTTTATGGCTGCATAGTGTTCCATGGTGTGTATGTGCCACGTTTTCTTTATCCAATTTATCATTGATGGGCATTGGGTTGGTTCCAAGTCTTTGCTATTGTGAATAGTGCTGCAATAAACATGTGTGCATGTGTCTTTATAGTACAATGATTTATAATCTTTTGGGTATATACCCAGTAATGGGATTGCTGGGTCAAATGTTGTCTATAGTTCCAGATTCTTGACAAATTGCCACACTGTCTTCCAAAATGATTGAACTAATTTACACTCCCACCAACAATGTAAAAGTGTTCCTATTTCTCCACATCTTCTCCAGCATCTGTTGTTTTCTGATTTTTTTAATGATCACCATTCTAACTGGTGTGACATGGTATCTCAATGTGGTTTGATTTGTATTTTTCTAATGACCAGTGATGATGAGCTTTTTTTCATTAAAAAAATTAGTTTTTTATGGTTTTAGGTCTTATGTTTAAGACTTCAATCCATTTTGAGTTGATTTTTGTATAAGGTGGAAGGAAGGAGTCCAGTTTCAGTTTTCTTCATATGGCTAACCAGTTTTTCCAACTGTTGGGAAAATCATTTTCCTGTTGCCTGTTTTCATCAGGTTTGTCAAAAACAGGTGGTTGTAGATGGATAGCATCATTTCTAAAGCCTCTGTTGTGTTTCATTGGTATATATATATCTGTTTTGGTACCAGTACCATACTGTTTTGGTTACTGTAGCCTTGTAGGATAGTTTGAAGTCAGGGAGTGTGAGGCCTCCAGCTTTGTTTTTTTTCACTTAAAACTGTCTTGGCCATATGGGCTCTTTTTTGGTTCCATATGAAATTTAAAGTAGTTTTTTTTCCCGATTCTGTGAAGAAAGTAAATGGTAGTTTGATGGAGTTAGCACTGAATCTTTAAATTACTTTGGGCAGTATGGCCATATTTATGATATTTATTCTTCTTCATGAGCATGGAATTGTTTTCCATTTGTTTGTATTCTCTCTTATTTCCTTGAGCAGTGATTTGTAGTTCTCCTTGAGGAGGTCTTTCACATCCCTTGTAAGTTGTATTGCTAGGTATTTTATTCGCTTTGTAGTAATTGGGAATTTTAGCTGATTATCCTTTATCAACTTAAGGATATTATAATTTATGCTTATGGATTAGTTTTCTGAGGGTTATTATCTTAAGTGGGTCATAAACTCTATCAAACTTTTAAAAAATACATCCATAGAAAAGCATATTTGCAAACTAAAATTTCTTAGGAATTCTATTACAATAAAAAGATTTGTTTGGTTTATTCCTGGATATCCAAAAGATAGTTAATTAATTATTATTATTTTCACTGAATAACCAATGTTATCTTTCTAAATAGATGTCTTTTGTAAATAAAATTTGAACATCACGATTGGAATCAATAAACATTATTATTAGAATCAATAGAAAAACTGAGGATTTTTAAGATGTGAAATGATATGATCAAATCTAATATAATTGCCTTCCTTTTAATAGGGTCATATTCAGGATATCATCATCTATTTATTGAGCATCTATACTGTACATAGCTCTGTGATGAGTGTAATTGGGAATGAAGCAGTAGGGTAAGTCATAGACCTTGTTCACACAGAGCTAATTGGAGAGATAAATTTAACACACTGAGATAATTAGATGATTTGACCTATCACATATGACAGTATGTAAAAGGAAGAGGCAAAGTGTGGGGAAGCTGTCAATTGACATTCAGAAAAGAGAAAAGGTCAAGGAATTTCAGATGGCTGAAGAAATCAATGTGCAAGAAGTTGAGCTGGTTTTGTTAGGCTTTGTTCCCCATTCAGAAGAGTGCATTTGTGAAACAGTGATTGTTCACATAGACTATTGCAATAGTCTACGTCTACTCCATTTCCAATCTTCTCCTCTGCCAAATTTTGGAAATATCTATTAACAAGTAAACACCCAAAAACATCACATCCTAAAAGGGCCAAGATCCTAAAATTGCCTCTTAATCATGTAAATTTCTGTTGATTTAAAACAAATACACATAAATATACATTTTACAAGAATACATATCTAATAATATTTATTTTTGCTCACTTGAGTTTTGACTTTGTAGATGTTTTGAATTTGGTTCTGTATATATTTGCAGTTTGTGATGTTCCAGGTTTTCCTGAAATATATATCCTACTCAAAATAAACTTCTAGGCTGGTTTTAAGGTCCATCATGCGGAAGAATGGCCTTATTTTATTAATCAGTGTCCTCCATGCCAACATAATGGACCCTCGCTTACTTATCGAAATCCTCTCCCTTTGCTTTTGACAAAATAAGATTCTCCCTCTCAATAGCCTTTTCTAAAGATGCTCAGAAATGTCCTTCTTCCTATTAGTACTTAACTACAGACACTATATTTACTCGTTAGGTTCTCATCACAGTAATTGGGCAGAGAGATCAGATGTAAACCCTCAGGAGTTAGGCAGCCTTTTAGTGAAAATGGCAAGGTGTATTGAGTGAGTTATTTTACAAATAAAGAAAGTAGTCCTAAAATGTTAATATGTTGGAGATGAAAAAGATTCAAACTAGTTAAACATCTGTATTGCCTTTATATAACAATGGTTATTTGGCAGTGCTGGTGAGGTCGAACAAAATCGTAACTCAATTCCAAGTAAGCATTTATTTGTCATGTTTATTGAACATAGAATTAATTGAGTACTTTCAGGAAAACAAAGTTTTATATGGCACAGCCTTCAGATTGTAATCTTTTAATATACAGTGACTTGTTCAGTGACATCCTCTGTAAAAGAAACTTGCTCTCAAACTGGACTCCGCAGACATTAACAGTTGGTGAAGCTAATGATCATGGTTGAAGAAAAAATCAGCAAAAAGTGCCACAGATCTTTCATCATCACTATCACTGACATCACTGTATCTCACTTCCCAATATCTTTCTTTCATATATTAAGGTATCAAGTAAAGAGTTGAAGGAAACGTTTTTGTTTGGCTTAGAAACAATTAGCCCAACATTTTTTCAGAAATTCCTTCTAGCTTGCATGTATGAATAGATTCTATTCACTCAAAAAGCCACACATTTTAATATGACCCCCTTTTCTATGACAAAAAAGAAAATTGGAAAATGATTTTGAAGTTTTCTAAATGCAGTAATGACAATACTGGATACACCTGGAAAGAAAAGAAGAAATGTTTCTCAGGCAACGATACCAGGAGATTATAATAGACTATTAAACTATCATTCACAGAAGGGGATTTAGCAAATATGTGAACTAATTGTCTCCTTACACATCTGGTGCTGAAAGACTGTATACCTGTCTATGGCACCAAAATAAATAAATAGATAAATAATCTCCACCTTTTCACCAACTCGGGTCATAGAGTTACTTATTATTCAGCAATTGTTTATTGGGTGCCCTTTCCTGCTACAGAATATACTGAGTCCTGAGTACACAAAGGCAAATGAAATTTTTCTACATGGTCTCTGACTTCTTGAATCTAATAGAGTAGGGAGAAACAGCCGAAATGCATATAACAAAAAATATTATACATTGTGAAAACTGTTATCTGTATGAGGAATCACAAGTGTATCCCACACAAGGTGCGTAGGCAAGAGGGCACAAACGGAGGCAGAAATCTGAGCGGTCAGCCATGTGTCATGGTGTGGGGTTGTGGCAGCTTGGAGGAAAAAGTATTATTTGTTCATAATAGAGAGGGTGACATTTTTCAATCCATCTTTTGAAAGAGAAATATTTTTCTAAATCAAACAGAGACACTGTAAGAAATAAAGATTTCTAAACTACTGTGAGGAAATATTTTGACTTTCTATGAAAGAAGTCTGATTTCATTGGGTTAGCTAGCAGGTCCTCAAATGAAAAACAAAAGACATTTAAGCTAACATTTAAAGGACGAGAAAAAATTAACCAAGTCAGGAGAGAAATAGAGAGTTAATATAGTATCACAGGGCAGATGATCCCCATGCTGGAAAAAAGCCTGACTAATTTGGAAAAAGTAAATTGTCGTCATATTGCAGTGGGAGAAAGGAAATTTAACATGAGATATGGTTGTAGAGACAGGTAGTGAAAAAAACATACAGGTTCTTGTAGAACATCGTGGCAAATATCCATTGCATTTATTCAATTGGGTGGTCATATCTGATGGCAGTAAGTGCTGATACTGAAGAAGCAAATGAAGTGACAAGTTCAGAAAAAAAGAACATTTTCTCCTGGAGATAGAATTTTATCTGTTATTTTTAATAAGTGAATTCTCTTAGTGATTAAAATAACTAATGGGTACTAGGCTTCATACCTGAGTGATGAAATAACCTGTACCCCCATTACACACATTTACCTATGTAACAAACCCACACATGTACCACTGAACTTAAAATTAAAAAAAGAAGAGAGAGAAGGAAAGGAAGTCCAGATACTGTATTGAGGAAGAATTAGAGTAGAAGAGAAGATTGCCAAAACATGGAATGAGTTCAAAGATGTGGAAGGAAGCCCCAGGGAAGTGGCTGTTTTGGAGGCCCAGCGAGGAACTGCTTCAAGAATGGCCTACTTGGCTAAAAACCTGAGCAATCTAGTGAAGCGCAGATGCAAACTGTCTACTGAATTTGCCTCCAGTGACCCTTGCAATCACATAGTCATGACAGTAGACTGGATTGAACTAAGTAGATTAAACCAGGTAAGTGGATGAAAGATAAAAATGGAATCTTAGGAAATAGAGACAGTAGTTATACACATATTTTAGCTGACCTTTAGAAGCAAATTTCTTCAGATTAAAATATGATCCATGTGATCATATTTTAAATGCTTATATTTATATATTTAAATATTAGAGCAATGGGTTCATGCCCTATGTTATTAGAGATAGACCAGTACATAAAGAAAGGTTGGTGACTGAGGATTGAGAGAGAGGACCAAACTAGGATCAAAATCACTGAGCAGGTGGAAGGGGTGGAGAGGGGCTGTAGTCCAGAAAAGATGGAGAGGAATAGGTCTTTGACTTGGCATAATTCTCTCATTTGTAGTAAGAGGAATAACTAGTGGATCATTCATTCATTTATTTATGCCTTCATTCTAACAGAAAAAAATGAATACATTTCTTAATTTCATTATGGTCTAGCCACGGTGGCAAAGTTTCGGTATACTTAGGTGAGCAAGACCAACGTGATCGCTGTCGTCATGGGGCTTTCAGTCAAGCACAAGTGGCAGATAATAAATGAACAAATAAAACAAATGTAAACCGAAGTAAAATGAAGTGACTTAAAGAAAACAAAAAAAGCCGGGCTTGGTAGGGGGCGCCTGTAATCTCCTGGGGCAGAAGGATCACTTGAGTCCAGAAAGTCAAGGTCACAGTGAGTTAGGATTATGCCACTGTCCTCCAGCTTAGTTGACAGACAGAGCAATGCCATCTCTCTAAAAGCAACAAGAACAACTAAAACAAAAAGTGAGATTAAATGTAGTGAGAGTGATGAGGGGAGTGAGGAGAGTTTACATAGAGTAGTCAATGGAGGCCAGTGTCCTCTTGGAAGAGAGAGCTTTTGTGCAGAAACTCGAGTGAATGCATGAGCGGTACCAGATTTGAAGGTGGATTTTGCCAAAGAAGCAGAGAATCAAAGAGGAGAGGCTTTGGAGAGGTATGGCCACCAGCGTTGTCCCTAAACAAAAGCTTCTATATACCACAGCAGGAGGCAGACACTATTACAGTTACTTAGGGTTCAAAATTATGTAAAAAAACTCTGATGTTAGCTTATTTAAGGAAGGATCTATTGGCAGCCAACCGTTGAGTACTTAACCTTATGTTGCCCCATTATGATTCTTTTTTATCCCCCTAAGTATTTTGAGGTAAATCTCTGCATGGTGTACTCTCTTATGTCTCTGTGTTAATACTATATTTAATCTTTTAAAACATCACTTGCATTTGGCACAGAACTGGGTCTCAACTATATTAGAAGCCTTATGCCAGTCTCCAATAACTGGTGAAATGCTGTTACCTGATGTTTCAGCTGCTGTCAAGTTCCTAGTTGCTTCGGGAATGTTTTACATTTCATTAGTGTAATGATAGAGTTTACAGTTATCTACAGTATGCAATTACATCCATTAATAGTAACACTGCATTTTTACATTAATTATAATGAGAATTAATGGATAGTTATGTGGATTTTCAGCTATAAGGAAAAATTTTGGTACCAATTACTCTTGTACAGCTAAAGAAGAATTGATGGACAAATTTACCTCAGTAATTCTTTCAGGAAAATATGAGATTTCAAGTACCAGTAACCATGAATTATGAAATTAAATATATATATATATATATATATATATATATGATGAGAAATTAGAGTCGGTAACTATATGAAAAAGGTTTATTGTAGGAGGAGGCAGCATGGGATGGTATTAAGGAGGAGGAGCTAGACCTGAATTAGAACCCAATATCTGCCATTTTCAAGCTCCTATTTAAACTCCTCCATCCTTTGTTTCTTCCTACTTTGTAAGATGACTACTGTTCCCAAACTGTGCCCATTTAAAAAAAAAAATTGTAAATTTTCAGCGTGATGCCTGGCACAATTCAAATGCTCTACAAGTTGTAGTTTTATACATGGAGAAAAGGGAGGTAGTGTCAATGAATAAAGGCTTGAAAAATATTAATTTTTCTTAAATATAGAAGAGAAGGTAAATTCCTGGTGTAAAACTGTATTCTTTGATGTCCAATAGGAAAATAAATTGACCAGTGGTGTAAGTGAGGCTGAGAGATACAGGAGGTGGCTGTGGAAACTATATTTCATAGCCCGTAAAATCAGAGTGACATAAAATTTTGAATGGAAGACCAACCGCAGTTAAAAAATAAATTCCCTCCTGGCATGCATTTATCCATAATAAGGCAAATGAATTTACAGGCATCTCACTGAAATGCAGGGGTATAGATACTAAAATTCTTCTGGGTGCCCAAGGCTGGTTAAAGAAAAGTTAATGTGTAATAAAAATTATTACTAATTTAGGACTTGCAAAATGCTTTCATGGGTTTACATGCATTCCTGCTCCCCAGACATTTCCTCTTTTCCTCCCTCCCTTCATCTGTCCCTCCCTCCATCCCCTCTCTCTCTCTCAAACACACTTCTGTATTCTTTTTTTTGAGACAGAGTTTCGCTCTTGTTACCCAGGCTGGAGTACAATGGCGCAATCTAAGCTCACCGCAACCTCCGACTCCTGGGTTCAGGCAATTTTCCTGCCTCCTAGGTAGCTGGGATTACAGGTGCGTGCCACCATGCCCAGCTAATTTTTTGTATTTTTAGTAGAGATGGGGTTTCACCATGTTGACCAGGATAGTCTCCATCTCTTGACCTCGTGATCCACCCGCCTCGGCCTCCCAAAGTGCTGGGATTGTTCCAAAAGTTTTCAGGATGCTTTAATTCATGATGCAACTAGATGGGAATGTTTTATACATTTTGATGTCTGTACTTTGCAACCTAATTATCAGAACTTCGCTTATTAAATTGTTGAATCCTATGATAACCATTGTTGTAATCAGGGATGGTGCTCTCCTTCCCATTTTTGTGTCTGGCAAATATTTTCCCTGGATGCTATTAAGCTACATGATCCTTCCCTCATCCAATTAATCACAAAGACAACAGAAGGCAAAATACCTGAACAATCAGTGTGGTCAAGAACAATTCTGTATGTGAATTTGTCTTTCTCTTATCCACTGCCTCAATTAAGAGCACATCGGCACTATGAAGAGAAAACACCTAGATGTTTTCCAAATCTTAAAGCATAGAGCCATTCAGTAATGAGATTTCCATTCCCTGTCACACTTCCTTTGCAGGGTCCTAAAGTGCCCCATGCAGATGGCTGTCAAGCAAGCCTGGGAACAATATCACCAGCAAAAGCTTCCTGATGGAGAAAGAAAAGGAACCCTCTGTCCTCTGCCTGCAGATTTGAAATGACCTCTGCTTGAAGCCTTTGCCTTCATTAGCAGAAAATTCTTTGCTTCACATTTGGAGACATGGGCTCAAGGGAGGCAGGCTAATGTTCGCTAAATTGGGTTTAAGATTAGACCTCAATTCTAATATCAAGTTACATTTAGAGTCTTAAAGAACCCTAATTTCCTCTAAAGGGAGCCTAATTTAATCTTCCTTCCAGGTGGGCTTTTGAAAATGTGCTGCAGCATAGACAAGCCCTTGACCCCTCCATCCACCTTCAGTCTTTCACTTAGGGTATTCTAATTGGCTTTCCCTCCATGAATCAGCAAAGGGTGATTTGTGAGAAAATTTCGTTTGGGTATCACATGCTGCCATGTCTGCTAGATACATGATCCATTAAAAATATAGACTTATTCCAGGGAAAATGGTCTTGATTTTGCTAGAAAATACACTGTCTTGCCGAATTTCTTCCCCAGCTGCAGGAAAACCAACAAGCTTACCTCAGTAACAAGAAAGCAGGCTCTTTTAATAAAAGGTCAGAGGACAATTAGAAATCAAGACTCACATGGTCTTCAAATCAAATCAACTTAAGATGTAGTTGGAGAGTATTTTCCTTAACCATGTCTCCTTGTCTTCTTGTAGTAAATCATAAAATATAGGCTTTCTAAACATTGAAACAAAGTATTACATATTTTAACATTATAAAATTGTTAACACCGATTTATTTTATTATTATTATACTTTAAGTTCTGGAGTACATGTGCAGAACATGCAGGTTTGTTACCTAAGTGTACATGTGCCATGGTGGTTTGCTGCATCCATCGCCCTTCATTTACATTAGGTAGTTCTCCTAATGCTATCCTTCCCCTAGCCTCCACCCGCCTACATTATCTTCACTAGCCCACCACCCCCTTGCTATCCCTCCCCTAGACCCCACACTCTGCTATCCCTCCCCTAGACCCCCACTCCCTGACAGATCCCAGTGTGATGTTCCCCTCCCTGTGTCCATGTGTTCTCATTGTTCAATACCCACTTATGAGTCAGAACAAGCAGATAACACTGATTTTTAAAGATAGTAACAGAGCAAAAAGATATGCATTTAAATATATGTTCTCTTGACCTATCCATTTATTCACTAGTTTAACGAGTACTTATTGACATCTGACTCCGTAGTAGGCATTGTTCTAGACACTGTGTAAGATCCCTAAACAAAAAGAGCCATATTGTCTGCTGTCTACAGACCTACAATATTGGGAAGAAGATAGGCAATAAACAACTATATTCTGTTGTATTCATTAAATGTTAATCTTATTTTGACTTTATACCAGGTTTTCTTTTTTTAACCTCTGAATTTATTTATTCACTAAATCATTTTACATTAGGCTTTTAAAAGTCAAATTGGTGTATGATATGTATGTGTGTATGGGTGGTGGGGTGGATAATGAAAGCACAGCAATTTTCCTAAATTCAGATTTTAATGAATTTATGATATATAAATAAGAAAACAGGAATAAAATTCCAACGAGTATTTGGACCCTAAGTCATCCCATTATATTGTCCTGCAACATCTCTAAGAAACAATGCTGCTGAAATAAGGGAAAAAAATTGCTTTTCTTCTAATTTTTCTTTTGTGAATTCTCTGTATTCTGATAGAATTCAATGACTTTTCCTTTTCCTTCCTTTCTTCCTCCCATCCTCCCTTCCTCCCTCCCTCCCTTCTTTCTTTCTCTTTCTTCTTCTATTACTTTCTCACCTTTTTCTTCCTTTCTTTTTCTTCCCCTCCCACTTTTTAACTAATAAAATATAAACAAAAGGATGCTTTAAGGTCACTAAGAATGTTTAGTTTAAAATATTAGATACAGATTTTTATTTCTGTTCATTGTTTATTTTTGTTTTCTTGACGCTTCAGATATTTTTATTTTATAGAAAAGAAGTCAAACAGGTTGTTTTTTGTTGGTTTGTTTTATTTTGTTTTTTGAGGCAACATCTTACTCTGTCACCCAGGCTGGAGTGCAGTGGTGCAATCACAGCTAACTGCAGCCTGGAAGTCTCTAGGCTCAAGCAATCTTCTCACCTCAGTCTCTCGAGTATCTGGGAACACAGGTGCACACCACCACAGGCAGTTATTTTTTTGTTTGTGTGCTTTGTTTGTAGAGATGTAGAGGTGGGGACTCACTATGTCGCTCAGTTACTCAGCCTGGTTTTAATACTCCTGCTTCAGCCACCCAGATTGCCAAGATTACAGAAATGAGCAATTGTGTCTGGCCATGATTTTTGCTTTTTACCTATTATTATCCTTCCTCTTTAAAAAAAAAAAAACTTCTCAGGGACTCCTTTTACTTCCAGAATAAAGTTTTTACCTAGAATTATTGGACTTAACATTCATGGACAGTTGGGCTCTAACGTATACTTATTTTAACATTAACAAAAACACACTTTCTACCTTGCAATAGCAACTATAATTCCATTGATCCTAGAGATTGAACAGGATGTGAAAGTCCATGTATCATCGTCCTTTCTCCACATTATTTACTTTTTGTGAAACGGCAATTCTTTCTCACCTTATCTTCAGAATTGCAGTACAGCTCTCTCTTTCTGTGTTGTCAGAGTGACTTGCTATCCTGTCTAAGTCTGAGGGGACATAGAGTCTTTTGCTGTGGTGTATATACTTGCCTGAGATGATAGATTCCAGTACTTAAGAGATGGATATTAGGGGATAAAAGTCTGTAAGAAAGGTAACTATTTCCGGAGGTCACACACACACCTTCAAACACATTCTTCAGACCTAAAGCAGTGTTTCTGTGGGACTTCTTCCCCCACTCCATGAATAGCTGGGAGTTATAGACAGTTAATGCAAAGAAAAAATAACTGCTTTTCTTATGTTTAACTTTCTTACTGAGCCCATTGATTTTTTTTACTGGAAACCTATCTTATAATAAATAATCTCGTCAGTACAAAATAAGCCAATTATAAATACAACAATTTTCATATGCAATACAATAGCCTTTAACAATTTTTCAGGTTTTGGCGGTTTCTGTTTCTTATATATTTACTAAACATAGGTATATAGCTTTAATATGCAATTTAGGGGTCAGAAACTCCCACTCAGTTTTCTAAACATATCTCTGTATCTCTGTAATATCACTTCATTAACATTGTTATAACCTGAGACTGAAAGGTTTCAATTTCCCCTGCCTCTTTTCTGTCTTGCTTATACTTGTCATTTGCATTCTCAAATGCTATGCCATTCTGCCATTTTTTTTTATATCATCAGAAAACAATGAAAAAGAAAAGTGAAAATCTGCAGGTCAAATGAGCTGCCATCTTTCCCAATTTACATGGGAATTTTATATTGGTATTGTAGACCTAAAGTCTCTTTAGTACACCTAATTTTCAAAAAATATCTGTTTTACATAAGGAATAGATGACAGTCACTGGTCAAATTTACTGCTTCAGCTTCCCCATTGATTAAACAAGGATTCCAGTGAATTTCAGTTTTACATAAAGTGTATCAAGGCAATAATCCAAATTGTGAATTCTACCTTTTCCAACCTCAGTTCTTTCCATGTGACCTCTTGGCCACTTCTACCTCTATGGTTCCACATTTATGGTTTTCTGCTAGCTTGAATATCTTGGTTATTCCTTCTTTCTTGTACGCGCAGTAAATCCAGTTTTTCCTTAGGGAACAATGTCATTGCAGAGGCTTCCTTAACTCCCAGGACCTACACTTCTACAGACAGAAATAGAGATGGCTGCATCTGAAACACCATGGTCGTTCATTGCCACTCAAGGTCATACATACCACAACAGACTGAATAACAATCATTCTTAAACCTGTCCACTTACTGGATCATTATATTCCTAGATAAATTTGTCCTATTTATGTTTCCAAGACCTAGCAGAGAACTACTCAAATGGTGCACATACAATGAATTTCAGTCCCATGTTTTGAAGTGCCACCCTATTTCTACAACCACACCTCAGATGATAATTATTCCATTGATAGCAACAACAACAAACCCTGGAGACTAGGGAAGGGAAACTAATTCTTAGATTTACTTCATCATATGAATGACAA